GCTTGAAAAATGAATCGTCGCTGAAAGAGTCAGCTGTCGGACGGCGCATCATAAGAAATTTTGGCAGTATTTCTAAAAATATCTTCCGGATCCACATGGAAAATCGATGAGTACTTGGCGATCGATGATGAATGTTCAGCGTCACTACGGTAACTGCGATGCTCAGGGTCACGATTACCATGGTGAAGAGGAGGTATTTTCCAATCATAGGAATGATCAGACTGGTGCTAGGAATAATCTCTACAAGCAAATTGAAGAACATCGTCAAGCATATTAGAATATAAACGCTGAGTGTGACTTTTTCTCCGGAATCACTCGGTAGGTAGAAAACCAATATTGTCAGAAACGATATGCCAATGCACGGGATGATCAGATTGACGCTATAAAACAGAGTTCGGCGCCGCAGGTGAATCTAAAGAAATGAAACTGTGGAAAAACAGATGTGCTCGACAAGTTATGACCTACATAGAAGGTTATGTCGATGTACGGCGCCCTGCAGCATTCATAACGTTCCTCGTGGCGCTTCACAGGGACCGCCATTACGTCCCATTCCGTTGAGGGCAAGAAATCAGACAAGTCTACTCCATTTGACACCGTCCACACCATTTTGCCGTTCTCCTCTGACACCGACACTCTCTCGGCATCGTAATGCACTAAGTCTACTTCGAAGCCATCGTATGTCCAAGAACCTCAAAGATAAATCATTATTGCTATAGCTGGAGAGTAAAGGCGTCATAAAATAATTGAAGTAACTAAGAAATAGTTCGGAAAAACAAAGTTATTGGTAAAGCAGACTCACCGAATTTCAAATCACATAGCTGTTCGTCGAATGGAAACCATTCTATATCAATTGGACACATGCTCTTGTACAATGCAGGAGGTTCCCACACAACAGTGCCATTGTAATAAACAGCTGCCTTCGTGACAGCACTGACTTGGTAATTTCCATCCGCACTAGAAACCTTTTCATTACATTGGAACAGCAAACTTTTAAAGGTACTTATTGTAAAGAACGATATTTGGAGTCCATATTTGATTGGCCGGAATGTACAGCTGCATAACACCTCCATAATTTTGAGGATTCCACCTTAAGGTGTTGTCGACCCATACCTATAATACCTACAGGTACACATACATGAATCCTTAAAGCGTGAGTAGTAATTTTGATATAATGAAGCTTATGAAGGAGCCAATTCTATTTGCCGTGCAATTAAGCTCTGGCAAATTAGAACGATGAGCTGCTTCAAGAAGTCCATGCAGCTTCTCAAGTAGCTTCCATAACAGGTAGAGATTGATGCGTACTGAAGTATCCTCCGTAGCTTGCATCGGGCAGGGTCTGACAGACTGAAACTGCCTTATAGAAGTATTTAAGTTACGTCACAAATTTGGAACCGGATAAGGAGGAATATTTCCTAGAAATTTCAAGAAATTTCATAACAGTAATTCTTGAGATATAAATTGATAAAGAAACATGGAGTCACAGGAAGGACTACAGTATACATGATGCTCAGACATCCATTTCGAGACAATTAATGGGAATGCGTATCATAGCTCAATCATTTACATCGTATGCGACATGCGCTCGTTTTCAACTTAGGGATGAAGTGGTATTGTTGCATAGTACATAAGAGGTGAATTTGGAGCTTTAGGTTCAGCTTCTCAGGTACCCAGTTCGACTCCCGCATTAGGAAGTCTTTCTCTTTACGGCGAATTCCCTTCAACGATTAATTTACCACTCCTTGACTAAGATCGGGGTCACAGAATCGATAGAGTTTCAGACTACCAACCAAGAGGTTCCGGGTAGAGCGCCAGTCTAAGTCACTTGCCATTCTTCCGTTCGATGTCGATAAATTCTACCACTCTGAAAAATAAATGGAACCGAGAGAGGAGATATCGAGAATGCTATCGCCCAGTTCTGATCGATTCTGCCCAAGGTGTCACGCCTGGCTCATGACATGGAAATGGAATTCAGCACCCTTACTGAAATGAAAGCTTACTTGCTTGAATTGGCATAGTATCGTATCATATGGAAGATAGTATTCTCATGGTTACGAACTTTACTTTTTAGTAATAAATAAATATGCCTTACCTGTTTAATCCAGACGTTCGTGGTAATAATTTGATTCTTTTCATGCTAAAAGATCTGATTGTTGAGCATGTTAAATTTTTGCACTGCAAGCGTGAAATTTTCGACTGCTAAAGCTCAGCTGTTAAAATTAAGAAAGTTTTTTGCAGGAAGAATGGAATTTCAAAATCATCAAAATTGTTTTTTTTTTAAATTTAGCTATAGGATATTTTTTGGCAAACAAAATTTCGTGACGCTTTTTTATTCTAAGAATGGCTGAAGTACCATTTAAAACGGAAGTCTCGTTGCAGACTATAAATTTAGAACTGGAAATTTCCAGTAACAAGTTTTGGTCTTTCTGTGCATTAAAAATGCCTTAAAATATTAATCATATCTACCATGTTTTACATATTGCATAAAAAAATTATACTGCAAAAAAAGTGCTCTCCTCTGATGAGAGGGATAAGGAAATGAATTTTGAATCGCGAAATTTTCAAATAGCTTGACGCTGCAGTGAAAATCAAAAGTTTTGTAGAAGCCTGAATATATTGCAGCACTTCTTAACTTTGGTTCCAGCTACAGGTGGAAACGACCGCAGGAAAGTTGAAACCTGGTCCTGTAGAGCAACGCATTGCAAGCAATGTATATGGCGTGTATTAGAATATCAATACCTTTTCCAGATTTAAGGACCATTCTCAGTTGATTGTAGTCTTCATGAATTTATCTACCTATTCAATGCCAGATGAAAGTAGCAAATAAATTCTATAACATTTTTTTCATATATAAAGTAACTCTTTCAAAACTTCTTCTGTTCGAATTACATTGGAGAATGCCAGTTTTTTACAGGTCTAAAACATTCAGTTTAAATCAGAGTGTCATTTATGATGTGTTATTATTTGTTATCTCATTTAATTTGTTTAATAGTTGCTACACGCTTAAGAAATGATCTATTAGACTTTTTACAATGTTTCATGCATTCAAAGCTTAGCAAAATCCATACCACGTCTAGAAGCTGCGACAGCCGTATTTTGACCTTGACAGAGACAACGTCGCTAGTGTTTTCTACGGGACGCAGAAGGCGATTGTACCCTGTCATTATGTCTTGAAGCAACCTGTTGGCATTGGAGACTGAATGGCTCATTCCTAAAATTGTTCACGTTAAGCCAACTAATCTCAAAAACGTATAAACTCAAAATACCATATGTGAGTAACATAAGTGAAACAACGTTCGAGCACCATGCACTGATTTTTGCATGTCCTCCGTCAGTTAGACAGTTATGAGTAAAGCTAGTCTTTTCTGGTCGATTACTCGAAGTCTCCTAAGTTCTCGATCTGCTGTCAGCTTTGAACATAAGAAAAAGATAGCTAGGGTCTGAAACAGAGATGTTTGACACAATTGCCCAGACAATTCTTGGCCATCACTGGGGTCTGGTCATCATTCGGTCGGTTGAGCCTCAATAGCCGTTTCGAGTTCCCTTTTGAAAGCATCTGCAGCACGTGTGCGAACAGCCGCAGCTATGACTTCTCAATCCGGAGAAACAGTCGCTGTCCACCAAGTTTCTCCCGGATATCTCTACTGCGGATGATGTCCAGATGGGCGAGCCTATCGGTTCGTTTCAGAAAAGCCATTTAAGCCGCCTCTGCCTGAGATCGAAGTTTTTCAGTTACGGCTCACGATCCACGACCGTATGCGAGAATTGGAGGAAATTCAGTTTGAACCCAGATGCCTTAGTCTTCAGACTTTGATTTACTTTTTCGCAGTTCACGCAGATCATCATTGGCGATTTAACATCACTCATCAGTTGTCTTTTCCATAACTGATAATCATGGCTCGGATTGATGGGAACTTCTGCTGCTGCTCCTCTGATTATCTGCGGGGAGATACGTTCAGGAGAACTACAATACACTAGGCTTTTCTTTCAAGGCATATTCACGTGCTTGTCGCCACATCGCATTGATCTGCCAGGTATTCGGAATAGGACTACATATCAACTTCAGAAGGTGCAAACAAAACATGGTCGGTTGCAAAAGCAACCATCTCATCTCTACATCTCGGACGGTTAGATGCTAATCGCCCTGACTGCTCCTCATTATTCTGTCCATGTACAGCACAAAGAGGAAAGGCAACAGAACGCTGTTTTGATGGAGGCCAGTGCTAACGTGGAAGGGTCTCTACTTAACACCATTTACTGACGCAGCCACTATCAACATATAGGTACTGGATGGCTCGTTGCAGCAGGCTATCGATGCCACATGTTAGCAGCCACGCTCAGAGTTTGTTACACGGGATCTAGTCGTAATCTTTCTGCAGGACAACGAAACACATGCAAACTGTATTAGCAAGATCCTTTGATCTTTCCACAGTCTGTGGTAAGGAGTAGATCTGTTCGCTTCATGCACTCTTCTTGATCGCCTGCAGAATGTTGCATTCTTTCTAAAACATTCACCGCTTATTCTCTTCTGTAGCCGCGACTGTTTGACCGAACGTGTTCTCAGATAATAAGTCTCAAACGTAGACACAACGTTCTGATCCATCGGCGGATAAAAGGAGGAGGCATGAACACAACTCTCACATTAAGGCCAATATCACTGATGTTTCGGGGATGGCGTGGAGCATTATCCAAAATAAGGAGAAGTTTAAAAGAAAAATTTTCTTTTAGAGAATATTCCGTCACTTCACGGATAAAGCAATTAACCAATCAATCTTCAAATAGAATATCTGTCATCCACGCTTTAAGTTGTGACGATAATAAACGGGAAGTAAAGCCTTGCTATTTTTAACCAATACCCTGGAATTTCCTAAGTGATAAATCATGAACGGCTTCAACAAAAAACCCATCAACATTTCCTCTGAGAAGAAGAGTAAAGCGATCCTTAAATGCCTTAAATCCTCGCAGAGTCATAGCCGCCTTGTGTCGGCCCTGGCATCCATTTCCAATAAAGGCCAGTTTTGTCAATATTAAATATTTGATCCGTCAAGTAGTTTTCTTCCACAATTATTTAATGCAGCTTCTCCTTGAATTTTTCTGCTCCTTGGACATGAGCACTTGCCGCTTCTCTACTCATCCTGACCTTGTGGAAACTATGCCGATTCTTCAATCGGCAAAACCAATCATGACCTGCCGTGAAAGCTTGTTCCTGAGAGAGTGGATCTCCGTATCGTTCCTTAACATCGTCATTCAATGTACAGGTCCTTGTCTGTATCGTCAGAAGGCTAAGAGGCATGCATTTTTGCATCATGTACTCCATCCAAGCTACCAACAGCTTTTCCATTTTTTCCAGTGGCCCTGATGTCTCCTTCGATATTGCGGTGGAATGCGCAGATGGAACAAATTTGATAGATTTCATGACCCGCTTTTTGCCTTTGAGAATCGTTGATACCGTTGACTGGGATAACTGAAAATCACGTGCTATGGCCTAGACTGGTTTTTCTTCTTCCCGCTGGTTCATGATCTTCATTTTATCTGCCAAGGTAATAGCTTCCCTCTTCTTCTTCTTCTCATTGCTAACAGGAGAAAAATTGCCAAGTTTGGGGGGCCATTCTTGTACTAAAAAGCAGAAATTTAAAGCCCAAAATAAAACAAGTGGTAAATATTTCTTGAATCGCTATCTCACTAAGGGTTTGATCGCCGGAGACTGAGGCAGGTCACGACTTAAGTGATACGATGCTAGCGGCAGCAACTTCCCAACCGTACCCAAACTACCGTATGGCATGGCCTTACGCTCAGCTCTTCTTCTTGTGAAATCGGAAACATTTTTCGACGTCTGCTGTATCGTAATCAGTATCGAAAAATCTTCTGTCCCACCATTTATAGCCATGGGTGATTTAGAGGTGCAGAATAATCTCACCTCTTTTATTTAGTAGATAAAATGAAAGCGACGATCACAACGTTAGATCATTCATCTTCAAAACGTTCTTCACTTAGTCGAATGATCGAAAGGTATAATCGATCAAGCAGTTCTTTGTTTTGAGACTGTTGCTCAGTTCTCACTAGGTTAGTGCCACCTCCGTTTGCTTGGCTTCCAATGTGAGTACATGAAATAATTTTCAAGTAAACATATTAGTCGATAATAATACGAAAAGGGAATATAAAATACAAATGTAATTGATTAAATCTTAATCTATACTCTGATGTGATCGATGAGCCTGTATCAATTCAACCTAAAATCCAAAGGAATTATTGGAAGCTTAGCAATTAAACGGAAATTTCGACATTTTTATGCTGACAGACATTAAATTTAAAAAAAACCTATTTTCTTTCCCAATCATTAACTAGCCAGAAAAGAAAACAATCGCCTTCATTATTTAATATCCAAGAATTGCATTGCAGCAAAAGACATTTACTGGAATTGTTTCAGCAGCACGCTCCATCAAGGTTAAGCCTTGGTTGAATAACGTTTCGAAGCATATGTGATTTCATTCTTGTTATACGAGAGAGGATATATTTGAATCGTAGGATTCGCCAATTATATTTCTAAGCTTTATGAGGAAGGCGTATGCGACATCAATATATAGGAAGCATTAGAAAATCCCTCGTGAACTACGGAACTAATTTCAGCTCGTGAGGGGTATTTTTTTCACTCAAACTAGAAACCAGAAAAGATGTTAAACGAAAAAGACTTACTCTGTGACGATGGATAAATCGAAGCATCGAAACACAGAATGAGCAACCATAGTTTCATCCCGATCGTATGAAGCTTCGTTAACTATGTTTGCCAATGTCCCCCTGAGCCTTTTCCTCTGCGGTGTGGAGTTTGCCGAAAAACATTCGAAGTGCGATCGGGAAGTGTCTGATTCAGTAAATGCAGAAATTGACTTTGATGCCGCTTCGCCGTAGTCGCCGCCTGCCTCGACGCTGATTCTCAACGAGGTTGAATCCAGTCATCGTCAGCTGACGCTATATTCGATTTTTGAGGTTAGCAACGAATGCGCCATCTGTATGTCTTTGTCGAGTATCGACTTGCCTCACTGAGGCCGCGCCAGTTCTCCAAGTGCTGAATTTCTGCTCATCTGCTGTCAGCGACGGTTTCGGTTTCCGCGCCAACAATCTTGTTAGTTGTAGATGGCGCCTGCGCACGTTTTCAGCAATCTCATGACCACAACTTTCTGAATTTTCCATTGTGTAGCTGCTCGTCGTTCGTTTGCAGAAATTGTTACTAAAATGGCCAATGGAATTCAGTAATTTAATGCTCGGTTCTCCATGCATATTATAGACAAACGACCTGTCAGTTTGAGGGGTGCCACTGCTGTCACCTGAGCAAACGTTTTGTAAGTACCTATTTTGCTTCTTCTTCAAAAACTTTTCCCAAGTTCATAGGATTCCGATAATCAGAAAACCTTCATCTTCTTCTTCATCTTCC